TTGTACGAAGATCCAACACACAAACAGAAAAAAGAGTATGGTTCAATTTTTGTAAGATACACCAAAATTTTTACGTGAACTTTTCTAAAAATGAAACAAAGCACAAGTTCCAGCTCAATTTGAAAGAATACACTAGTATTAATGATTGATTACAAATAATACCCCTCACTGAAAGAGGATGCTGGCTCAATGTAGCAAATTAATACATATTATTTAGAATGCATTACATGGTGGCAGTTCTTAAGAGAGTGTTGGAATATTTATTTGGTAAGTAGGATCGTAGTCGGCAGGCGACGGTGGTCAAAAGAACTGTAGTCGGCAGGCGACGGTGGTCGAAAAGATCGTAGTCGGTGGACGTCAATGATCGGAAGGATCGTATTCGACCAACCTTTCTTCTGGCTCTGGTTATATGATTTTAAACTTTTATTTTAGATTCTTGCATAAATCTAAAGGTATTTCTCCTTCTTTATCTTCTGAAAGTTTTTTATTTAAAATATCATCCATTAGATTTGAAGTTAATTCAATTTTCGCTTGTAAAATTAGGGTTTCATTTTATTTTATTTTCTTAAAAAAGTTGCTAAATCTATGAAATTATTAAGGTCAAAATCATATTTTTAACAAAGTTCTATAATCCCTTTTTAGACATTATGCTTATTTGGCACATCTAGATTTTTTTATATGTACTTAAATCCAAGAATAAGAAAGACAATTATAATTTTAAAAATTCTTAAAATATTTTTAAAATATTTTTTATATATTGACAAAATAATTTTAAATTTTTTATTGAATGAATAGAAATGTAATTCACAATTTCATATAAATAAAATTGGTTACTTAATTGTTTTTGTATATCCTAAAAACCATGAAGGCTTCTTTAATTTAAAGATAAATATACATAAATACTTAATTATATTATAAGATAATCGCTTCATATAATAAGACAACAACTTCTCCATTTTTATTTTTGGGTCATTCAAATTTAAAATTTAAATATCTAATAGAATGATTTTTTTAATGTATTTGTACGATTCATATTCCTTACCAACTAATTTATGATAAAATTAATGCCTAAATAAATACAGTATATGAATATTTGAAGTGAGTAATCATGAATGTATAACAAATTATTACTTGGATGAAAATAATTATTTGATGAATTTCTTGATGCAATTGAATATTTTGTGCATGTAGCTGAGAAGCTATCTCATTTTGAATAACAAGAAAAATTTAAAGGTTCATATTCTAAACATAAAAATCAAGCATATTTGACGCTGGATGAAATTAAGGTTAATTTGTATAGAAGGGGATTTTAAACTAATTATTGATTATAGTCATCACATAAAGAGCTTAAGCTGTCGATCAACTCTGTTGGGGTTTTTTTGAGGAATGAGAGAGAGAGAGAGAGAGAGAGCATATCAGAGCAAAAAAAAAAGATCACTTGGTTTGATCTTCTATCCTATTACAACCTCTTTATTTATAGAAGAATGAGACTAATAGGATAATACGAGCATAAGAAACAAATTAACATAAAACTAGATCAAATCACAACAATCTTCTCCTTGATCCATATTTTACAAAATTAAAAAAATACATGTTGTTCACAATGAACAACACAAGAAAATTCTCCATCTGGCGGCCTGTTTCCCCTCCACCTGTTTCATAGAAATTAGCCCCTTATCATTGTTAGCCCAAACACCAACACTTCCACAACCAAGCTCCACCCAATGAGCGATAAGAATCCCCCTATGGAAGGGTGAGCCAAGATACAAACTTGAGGAACTCAATCCGTGCAAACCAGCCCACAATCATGCTTTGACCCATGCCTGCCATCACTTTCAAGGGCGATGCCAGCCCACCGCTCTGAGCCTGCAAGCATCCGCCTGTGCGCCTGCCGCTGCGATGCTCCGTATATGTCATGGAAGAAGATTTTGATGGAGGTTCATAATATGTGATTTTGTGAAATTGAGGTAATATTTATTTACTTTTTAAATAATGGCTCAATAAAACTTAATATAGAAATTGTTAAACTAACATTTTTTGTATTATAAAAAGATTCTCAATGGCTACCCATCATCATGATAGGATAAGAAAAAATTTTGAGGGATGAGGCTCAACACATCTATGAGATATGTTCACAAACATTCATAAGTTTAGGGAGAGACTTGCATGGATTCGAGAGCATGTTTGAGAAGATATATGCAAAGTTTGGGGCAGCATGAATTGCAAATTTGGGCTTCTAACTTAGGGGGAATGGGCAGCTCTCTTCATGCATGCTCGTAGCTTAGTTCCATATAATGAGAACAAAAGGAGAATGTTAGTTCATGAAGCACATATATATGGTATATTTTGTTATATATTTAATAAACTTTAAAAATAATTTTACAAAAGGAAATGATGGGAAGGGAACCCACAATAGTGAAGTTGCATGCACAAATCCACCACATCAAGAAGACTAGTAGTGGGTTGATAGTAGATTGCTATGAGTTTATGTAAGGATTTGATACATCATCAAAAAAATTATTCTGATCAAACACGAATCTCGAGGCAAAATCAAGTTGGAAACTTTCAAAATTTAAATTGGGACCATTCAAACTCCGGTTTCAGTAAACTTATAGTCAAATTGAGCGTCTCAGAATTACAAACCCAACAACACCAAAATCGACTCAATTTGAGCCCAAATGAGTTCAAATATTGTACTCGAAGAGCTGTTGGAGGTTTCAAACCACGATTTGGATTACCAAATAGTTTCCAAACATGACATAGTTATATTCTAATCGAGCGGCTCGACTAGACGAATCCAACGAACCTAAGAATGTTGAATTTCGACATCACTAAGTCAATCAAATGCCTAGTAAACAATCTATAATCAAGAAAATCAACATCGGACGTCCATCCAAACCACTCCCAACTTACCCTTGATCTTCCACCTATTTTACAAGCTATGCCACTCTAGAAATCTAAAAATAGAGCCCCCTTTCACATGAAAAGAGGTCCAAGCAAAGAATCTAGCCTCGCTCCTCCCCAGCCATCACACGGAGTTCCATCAGACCACGACCTGATGTCGGAGTTCTGTCGCATCACTAACTAGCACAGGGGTTTTGTTGAACATCCGTCGAACCACTACCTAATGTAGACCTTCAACTGACGCAAGAGTTCTGCCAAACCACCATCGGGAGACTGCCAGATGCTGGAGTTCCGTTGGGCCACCATCTGACGCCAAAGTTCCACCGGTCCACTACCCAACGCCGGAGTTCTGCCAAACCACCAACAGACCACCGACTGACGCTAGAGTTCTACCAAACTTCAGCAGGACCACCGATTGACACCAGAGTTTTGTTGAACTTCTGTCGGACCACCACCTAACACCAGAGTCCCGCTGAATCATTAACTGACACCAGAGTTTTGCCAAACCACCGTCGTGCCACCACCTAACACCGGAGTTTCGTCAGACCAACACTTGATAGCAGAGTTCTACCAAACCACCATCGGACCATCGACTGAGTCTTGAACTTTCATTGGACCACCAACCAACACCATAGTTCTACCGAACTTCCATCAGACTACCAACCAACGCTAGAGTTTTGTTGAACTTCTGCTGGACCACCGTCTGATGCTATAGTTCAGCTATACCACCGCCTAACACCAGAGTTCTACCAAAGCACCTTCGGACCACTAATTGAGGCCCAAACTTTTGTTGGATCATCGATAGAAGTCGTAGTTATGCCACACCACCGAATAACACCCAAACTTTTCACTAGACCAATGCTTAAGACTACGGTCTTTCTAACCCATATCTCCTTTCGACTTTGCTCTTTCCAACCTCCGTCGCCTACTACGGTCCTTCCGACCTCAATCATTAGACCACGGTCTTTCTAACCCCTGTCTCCTGTCAACTATGATCCTTCTGTCCTCCCTCGCCAGACAGCAGTCTTTCTGACCACTGTCTACCCCTGACTACGGTCCTTTCGAACTCCCTCGCCAGACAACGATCCTTCAGTCTACCGTCACTAGACTACGGTCTTTCCGACCTTCATTGCCCGATGATTATGGTTCTTCTGATTAATCGAACAATTCAATACTAATTCTTCCAATTCCCACCATGTAATATGATGTACATTTGCTACATCAACATAAGGCTTTCCCCCAATGAAGTTGGGTCTCATTTGTAATCAAATGCAAATAATAGTTGATTCATTCAAACTAGGCTAGGTTGCATGGTTTTTCTCACTTTTCAGGGATTTCCACATTAAAATACTGGTGTCTCTTATGAATGATGCACCCTCTCTTTTTATATGGTTGTGTGTTGGATATTCGTACAAAGTTAAGACGTTAAATTTTATATTTCTCTACCCCTGCAAATATTCCAGGACGCAACAAAATTTAAAAATATTATTGACTTATAAATTTTTATAAGTATCTTAAATCCCTAAATCCTAAATTTAAAACCCTAATTCTTGGGATAAATTATTATGTTTAAACACCTAACGCCGTCCGGAGATCAACCAGAATGCGCCACATCACTCCATGCTCGGTACCCAGCTCTGTACTGCTCGGTACCGCTGATGTGACGAATTCTGATTGGTCTCCAGACAGTGAATTGCGTTAGGCGCGCGCACAAAATAATTTTTCAATTCTTGGAGGAATTATTACATGTAGAGTCCGGACGTGTACTCATAATCCATATGTAACTTCCCGTCGTCCGGACTCCGCTCAGAATAATCTCTAATTATTGATGCATTTTCACTTAACATATATATTAATAAAATCATGTGATTCCAATTAATGAAGCAACCAAAGATCTTCCACCAATATTTTAGAACTGTGGGGGCCATGTCAAGCTCATATCAAGCTGGAGGAGATGCATAAAAAATTAACATAAAATACCTAAAAGTAGTAATGCTGTAACATCAAAACGTTATGATACAAATAAATACGACTCAATTTTCGATAATGCACAAAATCGGTATCCCTTTCTAGATTTTTTTTTTGCGAGCCGTTAAATCTCCCGTGATTTATTTTCTATCCGACAATTATTGTTTTATAATTTTGTAAGAATCTTTTTTAATTTTTTTATGATTAAAATTTATGCTAATTGCAGCTATTTCAAAGAGTCTCTGGTGGGAATCCAATGCCGTCACAAGCAAGTGAAACAGCTCTGTCGCTCCCCGCTTTCTCTCGTTCTCTGTGAAATTTTCAGCTGTTTTTAATTATTATTTTATCACCATTAATCTCCCCTTGAAAAAAGCTTCGTTCTTTACCGTATCTTTGCTCGCTTCTTATCTCTCCATTGGTTTTCTGGTTTCTGCCATTAAAGCTTCTCTTGCACCTGCATAACCGACGAAAGAAGCGGCAAGAATTGTTTTTGTTTGATTGAGAAGCCGGAATGAGGTCGGAGACGAGGCTGGCCTCGGCAGTGTTTCAACTCACACCGACGCGGACTAGGTTAGAGTCGGAATCTCTTGGGTTAAAATGTCGATAAAATTCCTTGGTTCATTGTTCATTGAGAAAGGGGGTGACATTTTTCATTTTCTTTTGTGAAGTCTGATCCATTTTGCGAAATTATTTTATTTGAATAATTGGATTTTTTTACATCCTTCTTAGTTTATGCTTGGGTGCAATCCTTTTCCACAGTTTTTTGTCTGGTTCAAAATTTTGATGATCCTGAAATTTCTTCATACTGGTAAACCCTAGTGTGCTATCATAAGTGGTGATTTTTCTTGAAAGCATTTGATTTTCTTGTTCCTACCAGGTGTGATCTGGTGATTATAGCTAATGGTAAGACAGAGAAGCTTGCATCTGGTCTAGTGAATCCTTTTATTTCCCATCTGAAGACTGCCCAGGATCAGATTGCAAGAGGTGGCTATTCGATCAAACTTGAACCAGATCCTGGTGCAGAAGCTGCATGGTTTACAAAGGGCACAGTGGAGAGGTCAGTTCCATATTCAGTAATTATTTACATAATTTTTTTTTTTCATAATTTGATTGATTGCTTGAGTTATCTGTGCTAGTTTTTTGACAACAGTTTTGCTTGGTATTTCAGTATTATTATTGCTATAAAAGAGTGCATAGTGTTTTGAAATGCTAGGTTTGTTCGCTTTGTGAGTACACCAGAAGTCTTGGAAAGAGTAAATACCATAGAATCTGAGATTTTACAGATTGATGAGGCGATCTCGATTCAGGGAAATGAAAATTTTGGCATTGGCACTGTGAGTAGTTCATCTACAATCGACATAGGCCTTATAAGAAGGAAAGTTTGTAATGATTTTGCCCTCTCTCATCTGGCAGGTGGAAGAACAGCATCAAATGAAATCAAGTGGAAGCATTGAAGGTAACTCACATTGTTTATAAATTTCACAGTTTTAGGTCTTCCTTTGTTTATTGTGCATGGGTACTTGGAGGCAATGTATGTGCCGTATTCATCTTCCCAGTTGACCTCTTTCATTTGAAGGCATGGTCTTTGAATCATATGTCAATATTGTTCTGGTTTTTCTTTTTCCCCCCTCAATTCACAGTATTATGCGGCCACTGATTAAGCACTCTATTGTCTGCTTTATGTGTTTTGATATCCAAAATGGCCTTTATAACGCAATAAATTTTGGAGTTATTACGACTAAATAACATAAATAAATCATTCTATTGGCGAATTTATGGTATTTAATGATTTTTTCTTCCTCACTGCTTTCCACAACATGATTTGTTCGTGAAAATAAATAACAAAAATAAAACGGAGGCCTTCCGATGGGAAAATTATTACGTCCGGTGTCCGGATTCGTCCGGACATCAATCCAGACGCACCACATCACCCAGATACACCTGGGGCCCAGTGTATCTGGGTGATGTGGCGCGTCTGAATTGGTGTCCGGACGGACCGGTGACTGGACGTAATAATTCGCCCTTCCGATGACCTGGTTAGGAAAGTTGAGGTATTAGAGTTGAATTATGTTAAGAAAGGTAGAGGCAGACCTAAAAAGACTTGGTTAGAAAATATTAGAAATGATCTTTCTTTATTAGATTTAAATGAGAATTTGACTTTTAACAGGACATTGGCGAAAATGGATTCATGTAGCCGACCCCACGTAGTGGGACAAAGGCTTGATGTTGTTGTTGTTGTAGTATCTTTTGTTCTTTGCCTTTGCGTTTAATGGAGTGACCTTAGTTTTAACTTGAATGTTGTAGGTAACAAGCCAATATTTGATGCAGATGCTGAGAAGGCAATAATTCTGTATAAGGTATTTGCCAGGTACTTTAATTTAGAGTAAATTGTCATGCTTTAAGCACTTGTCCTGAAGAAGAAGTATTTTGTTGATTTCTTGCAGCCTGTATCACATCCCAATCCACCAGTGTCAAATGGATCCAAAGTGCCTGAGGAGAACTCCAAGTATGTGTGAACTCTATTCAGTGACTTACACGATACAACTAGCATGGAAACAGCTAATATTAATATTCTAGATTTCACTTTTTAATTGATACAGTATCATAAATACTGAAGATTAAAATATGATTTACTAGGAATGCAAGCAAGCGTGTAACATCCTAAGGCATCACTCGTCTGTTGAATGCAATACTGTGGAAATGTTTCTCTTTTTTGCCTTCATTGAAGTGGTACGATTTGATTATTTAATCGTCTTTTTTACTTTCTGCAGAGTTCAACTTCTAAGAGTTCTTGAGAGCCGCAAAAAGGTTTTGCAGAAGGAACAGGCTATGGCCTTTGCACGCACCACAGCTGCTGGCTTTGACATAGAAAACATGGCCCATTTAATATCCTTTGCTGAGTCATTTGGTGCTTTCCGACTGATGTAAGCTTTCTATCTTATTATATGTCGTTCTAGTTTCGTAAAGGATTCGTCCCTTTTGTTTACATGGTAAAACCATGGAGACGTCAGAATCATTTAGCAGAAGTCTCCAACTGAAACAACAGGGATAATTTGCAGAACTTGATTGCAAGAGATAAAATGGTGGGTAGGTTTAGGATTTTAAAAATTTCTGAACGCATTTATATTTAAAATCACAAAAGTAGAGTTCTTTGAAACTGTGCATGAGTTGAAGGATGTTATGAAGTATTGATTAAGGATTTTCTTTTGGAGAATGAGCCATCTAGGCTTCTTTTGGAACAGCTTTCTTACTGTTTCATAAAGCAGCTTTTTAGTACAAAAATTAAAATTTGTATACTAGAAAGCTGCTTTAAGACGCAAAAAGAAAGCCGTCCCAAACACAGCCTTAGTGTCAAAGAATGTTTGGGGACCCCTTTTGAAAGATATTTGGTCCAATTTAACCTTTATCCTATGTACTTCTAACCTTTTTCCTTGTCCTTTCAAAATAGGGAGGCATGTGTACAGTATACGCAGTTATGGAAAGGAAAGCATGAAACTGGGCAATGGATAGAAGTTGAACCTGCAGAAGCACTGTCTTATAGGTCCGAATTTTCTCCTTTGAATTCATCTGGGATTATTCTTTCGGGAGATGCCATTAGACAAAAGGAGTTGGTAGAAGCGTGGCCAGTATCTAGCCAAGATACAAGCACAGAGAGCAATGGAAATAGCACTAGCCATGATAATGATAGAGGTTTGAAATAGTAATCCATTGTGACCTCAAATACTATTTTTATGATCCTCAAGAAAAAAAAAGGTTTAATTTATGCTATATTATATTTTAAACTCAGATTCATTATGCGTAGAAGCTCTTTGAATGTGATTTTCAAGTATCTTTCATATTCTTATTTCTTATGATGTTATCAATGGCACCCCACCACCTAATCATGATGAAAGAGCCTTTACTTGTAAAAGAGACTTGTTAAATTTGCCTAAACTTGTTTCCAAAATCATAAACCATGCAATTGAAGGACAAAATGGTAAGTCTACTCTAATTTATCTTAAGTAGTAATTGCACTAGCTGATATTTAGAGATGATTAAAACTCTAACAATTGCTTGTTAAATTGCCAGATAAAAGATTTCCTTCAGAACCACAGGCACCTCGTGGTCTGCATGAGTATTATCAAGGACAGTTTCAACACCCAGCATTTCCTCAGTGGCCTATGCTTTCTCAGACAAACCCTCATGGATTTCTTCCACACCAAATGCAAGCTATGCCTTACTATCAAAATTATCCAATGAATGGCCAATTCTTTCACCCCCCGCCCACACCAATGGAAGAACCTAGATTCAATACACCAAAAAGAAAGGCGAAAAAGAAGCATTCCACGAATAGTGATAGTACTTCTACTGCAGAAGATGGTTCAGATGTAAGTACCTCTGAGTCTGAGGAAGAGTCATCTAGAGGTCGCAGTTCTCATCACAAATCTAGCCATTCTAGGAAGAAAAAGGGCGTAGTTGTCATTCGAAACTTAAACTACATTGCAGGAAAGAGACATGAGGCATCTGGAAATGGATCAGAATCTACACATGACTCTGAATTTGAAGAAAATAAGGATTCAAAATCTTCAAAGAGAAAAGATAGCACCACAAAATCTTTGGAGATCTCAAATGTACAGGGAAAGGATGAAGATATATATTCACAAGAAGCAGATGCTGGAAATTGGCAAGCATTTCAAAGTTTCTTATTGAGAGCTGAAGAGAAAATGACCAGTGCCGTTAATGGAGACATATTGTCTTTTGAGAAGAAGCCTTTAGTGAAGAAAGGGCAAAATAATGTTGAACCTGATCCTATCCTTCTTCCTGATAGGGAATCTAGTAGTTATCAGGAAGAAAGTATCATTGAGTATGATGTAATTAGTGGCAAGGGAAACCGACCAAAGCATGCTGTTTCAGCTGATGAATGTTTAGTAGCAAGTGAAGTTAGAAACCTGAAAGGCAACATGACAGCCTCTCAGTTCAAAGAAATAGAAGGTGGAGTTGGTGGATATCGAAAAGCTACAAGTGATGCTTTCATTATGTATGGTCGGGAGAAGCAGATTCGAAGCAAGAATTCTTCAGATCCTCTTGTTGATTTTGAACATGAGTATGGTGGCAATTCTGAGAAGAGCTTCTCACAAAATGTAAATGATGAGTCCTTCATGGTTCCTTTACGGCCAGGCTCACAAGATCTGCATGGAGCAGATAGAAGGCTTACTATTGACTTGGAGTCTGAATTCCCTTCTGTTATTCAGAGAAATGAGGATTCTAACAATAAGGGAACTTCTAGCATTCCTTATGAGCCAGATGATTTGACCTTGATGATTGGACGTGCAAGAGAGAGTGAATCAGTTGGCTATGATCCAGCTTTAGATTATGACATTCAAGTCCCTCTTGTTGTCAAACATGAATCCAAGAAGCAAGAAGATGATGTCTTGGCAAATACTAATATAGGATTGATGAAGACTGTCAAGGAAAAGAAGCTGAAATCTCCTCAGGGTGGATTGGAGAAGAAAAGAAAGGATGCAATGATGACGAAGATGTCATCTTCAAGGTCCACCCCTTTGAATGAAGCACAAAAGAGAGCAGAAAAACTACGAAGCTACAAAGCTGATCTTCAAAAGCTTAAGAAAGAACAGGTATATTTTAACCATCTACTTTACTGGTGGGAACAATTTGGTTTGGTTTCAAATTTACGAAGGCTTGAAACCAAATTGAACTTTTTTGCAGGAAGCAGAGGAGATAAGAAGGTTGGAAGCTTTGAAAAGAGAACGGCAGAAACGGATAGCTGCAAGAAGTGGTTCCAATGCTGTTCAATCACCAGCTACCCCACAACAGCACAAACCGAGGTTGCCTACAAAAGTTTCACCAAGTTCTTTCAAAAGCTCCAAATTCACTGATTCGGAACCTGGATCAAATTCTCCTCTACAAAAATTGCCAACTAATATTGGTTCAATTGGATCCAATGATGGTGACAAAGCATCTAAACCGCCAAGATCAAATGACTTGAGTCGTTCTGCATCATCATTGGCTGAGTTCAAGAAAGAAAGCATGAAACAAGTGGGAAGTTCAGCTTCTGAGCGAATTAGAAGACTCTCAGAACCCAAAGCCAGTAGTGCACGTAGTGTTCCAGCGAAATCCGCAAACACTATTCAAGTAAATAAGAAACCATCATCTGAGGAGCCACAATCAAAAAAGATATCTGCAATAATACAGCTAGACAGAACCAAGTCAGAAACCCTGCCAGAACTGAAGATAAAAGCATATAGAACCCCTCAGGAAGCAGTAAAGAACAAGCCAGTAACTAAGCTGCAGAAAGGGGCTGGAAGCAGAACTTCTGTGATCTCTGAAAGCAGCCATTGTGATACGAAGGTTGAGAAGACCCACAGTTTTAGCTACAGTGATGACAATCCTGTGATTGAGAAAACTGTGGTGATGCTTGAAAATGAAGTTGTCCACACTTTGCCAGTTCAGACACCTGAAGGGAAGATAGGTCCAGTGGATAAATCATACAGGAATGACAAACAAGCTATAGCTGGAATAGATGCTGGATATAATGCTATTCGGGCACCGCCTTCACAAATTTATGGAGTTGAAATTGAAAATCCAACCGAAGGCAACCAGAATGATGGACTGGACTCTTATGAGGTAAACTTATGAGTTATATAGCACTTCAGTTGATACTTGATAAATTATATTGGAGTTATATAGCACTTCAGTTGATACTTGATAAATTATATTGGAGTACCACATGGTGGCCTTTTGCTAGAGTAGATTGATGAACACACAAAAAAAAATCGTACTTACTGAGCTTGCACATCTGCCCAGATATAAAGGAAATGAAGATCTAAGACATTCTAGTTATAATTCTTAGAGCTGCAGGGTAGAACATGCAGTAAATGTAGTCAATCAACTTTTTCTAGAGCCTACTTTTTTTTCCGAGAAACTCGGTGAAATTCCGAAAACCAATCAATTTGGATTGAAAGTGATGATTGAGGTGTGGTTTAACATGATCAACCAGAACAGTTCTAATATTTGATCAAGCATAATCAGCTATTGAGGTTTTAACTTTTAAGCTAAAGCTGAGTAACCAACCAACGTTAATCATCTTTTTTTAGAGTGTATCTACCATGTCGATTGGACCAATCTCTTAAAAGCTGATTGATAGTAAAAGTTTTAACCTTTTAATTTGTATTATCTTTGAAACTTCGTTATTATGATCTGATTTTCTACTAACTTCTAATTTGATTCCATTAGCCTGTTGATAGTCCCAAGCAGCCCAGTTTTGATTTCTACACTATGAAATTAATTAAAACTATCAGGCTAAGAAGATTAAAATCTATGACCCCGCTTAATAGGGTAGCACAAATTTCATTATTGTCATTTTTTTATTTTATGTTAATTGATTTGAATATGTAAATTATAAATGTTTCCATTATAAAGTATTTCAAAGAGACAATAAATCAAAAAATAAAATTCAGTTATCTTTTCAATATGAAATTTATGTAGGCACATTGATAATTTGACCACCGAAAGGTTCGAGTTTTCAAATTGATAAAGTAAACTTATACTGAAAGAGGTTTAAACTTTAGATGTTTTCAAAAAGATGAACAGTAAACCATCTATCCTAGTTACTATTGCATAAAAATACATACAAAAGACTCTTCTAACTTGATACGTGGTTTGATAGCAGTAGAGGTGATCTGCTTCAAAACTCAATAGCCTTCTATGTTACATTTTTTGGTTCAATTTACATTTATTATTGCCGTTTTAAGAGTTCATGGATCAGAATTTCTTTTGTTATATCTTTTGTGTTTAGCTTGTAAATCATGTTTCAAAGGACGAATCTGAGAAGTTCTTGGATCGAACTGTCCCTGAGATTCCTTATCGAGCTCCATTTGCAAGAGCATCATCTTTGGAAGACCCTGCTACTGGTTTTTTTCAAAACGCTGATGTACCACCGCTTATAAACACTGAAATGACTGTGACTGATACTCAAACTATCAAGGCTCATATACACATCTCAGATACGAGCGTGGTGGACCAAACAGATGAATCACATGAGAAGACGCGAAACAAAGAATCAAAGGGTCTTAAAAAGCTCTGGAAATTTGCAAGAAAAGGGCACAGCTCTGGTTCAGGTGATGGTAACCTGGATTCAAATGGATCAGTTGTTGATGATCAGATGGCTACTCCCTCTTCTAGTGACAGTAAGAGTTTTTCCTTCTTGTTACCACATCATGATCTCTAGACTAGTAATTTTTTTTCTGTGATTTCCTTGTTTTCAACAATTAGTGGACATACTTATGCCCCTCTTTCAATTAATTGTGTGCATGATTTGGCATGCCATCCTCTTCATCATTTGGGGGTTGGTATGTGTATCTTTTTTATTCATTCATGTGGACTATTGTTTGAGATGTTAAATCTCATTAAAATGTTATTTTTCTTTCCCTTATATCCATATTACTTTTGTCTATAGTCAGCCCATTTCACATTATAATCCATATTGCATTTATTTACTATTCTTATTGGTATCCTTCCATCCTCTATTGTGTTTAATCAGCAAATTCAAATTTTAATTATGGGGTTGTTTAGCTATGTGTAAAAGGAATGTAGTGTAAAAAGAATACTTTTGAGTTTTTTGAATGAATGTAAAGTAAATGCAAGTGAATGATTTTTTTTTTTTTGAAGTATGAATGTAGTGTAAAGTCCAAAAATGGTGGCGGACGGTGGGGGAGGTGGCGGTGGTGTTGGTGGCTGGTGGTGGACAACGGTGGTGGTGGTGGTGGCCGGTGGTGTCCGGCAGTGGGGGTTGCCGGCAATGGGTAGTAGCAGCGGTCGGTGGCGGCGACGGTGGGCGGCAGTTAAGCGAGCTTGGTTGTGGTGTAAACTGTTTTCGCTCAAAATTAGACGAGTTTGGTTTACTTTAAAAATGAACTAAAATGATTTACACTATATTTATTTTACTTTGCTTCACTTTGAATTCCAACCAAATGCATTTGGAATACTTTAGATCCCTTTGTATTTCAACCAAACAGCTCCTATAGTATCATCAATAGTCTTTATTTACTGGTTTTTGATTAGTTCCTCTCGTATAATAACTTTTCAACTTAAACTTCATACTTATGCCCGCACATTCATTTTAGCTGTCACATTTCAGCCTCGTCCTACACTCCTACTTATCCATCGTTGCTACTCTTGCTGCCAAGCTCAACTTGGGTAGGAATTGTCATTCTTGACTTAATTTATTTCAGCTTTTCCCCCTTTTGGAAGGCATTATGACAAGTACTAGTAACCAAGGTTCTTGGTTGCATCTCCCTGTATAATGAACCATATCAATAGGATGAAAACGCCTTTGCAGTGGTCTGTGTACTCGAGCACTGTGAGATAAACATCTTATGATTTCTTTTGTTAGGCTCAACTGCTTGTATTGCTCTAAAGAAAAATCACCGAATTCTTTTTCATTAAAACAATCTGATGATTCTTTATCTTTGTCTCAGCTTCTACACTGAAGAATCTGATTTCTCAAGATGAAACTAATATTGGTGGCGTTCAGACAAAAGGTTAGACTAAGCTACATTCATAGTTTTCACCTTTTCAAATTGAGTTCAAAAGAATATGGTTCTGCGCTTCTTCTCCTATCAAAAGAGGCAATAGTTATGTTTCTCTTCACCAAGTTAGAGTGGATTTGAGTCACTGAAACCGACTCTATAGACCCCACATTGACAGAAGACTTATTGTCTTAGACAAAATTGTTAGAATAAGCTTATGCGATATTCACCTGAAACAATGATTAGGTTGTTTTTACAATGATTTCGGTTTATAAATTTGAATCATGAAAGTAGTTTCTCTGCAGTATATTACTAAGACTTCATTTGAGATAGTTTTTTTATTGCTTTCTACATCAACTTTTTAGTAATTTTTTTTTAAACAATGAAAAATAGTGAGACCTGCAATGCTTTATGGTGCAGAATATTTTGACCATTAGAAGAGAAGAATAATATTAAATTAAGTGTTGCAGGGATGAGAATGCTCAGGTGGATGAGTGGCTTTACTCTTAAAGATAGGATACGAAATGAGAATATACATGAAAAGGTTGGAGTAGCTCCAATGGAAGATAAGATTAGAGAGATTCGCCTTAGATAGTTTGGTCACATAAAACGGCGGCATTTTGATGACCCGGTTAAGAAAGTAGATGTATTAAATTTGACTAATGTTAAGAAAGGTAGAGGTATACCTAAAAAGACTTGGTTAGAAAGATATTAGAAATAACCTTTATTTATTAGATTTAGATGAGATAATGGAGAAAAAAAGGATTCATGTAGCCAACCTCACATTTTAGCTGGATAAATGCTTGTTGTTATAGTGAAAAAATAGTGGCCAAATATTGTCCCAAGAAATCCCTGCTCCCGCACAAAAAACCAAGCTATTCTCTACACATTTTACGAATGTGGAGATAAATCTGATATATTTGATTATGTTAATATTTTCTTATTTGTCAACCCCACGTAGTGAGATAAAGACTTGTTTTTAACATTTTACTTCTATATGTTTGTTTATTGTGGCAGCTTTTGCCCTATGAATAAAGTTTTCAATTTGATGAATTTATTTTTTCCAACCCTACCTTTCTGTTTCAGCTTCTCGTCCATTCTCCATCCTCTCGCCATTTCGAGGGAGGAGCAATGAAAAGAAAGTTGCAGCTTGAGCATGACAAGCTTAGACCAGTGATTTTGTTTTTGATATTGGGCTGTTTGCTTTTTGTATTTATGTAAGCATTTCAATTTGAAATGTGTATTTGTTCAAATTGATTTCTTGCAGTTTATAAAAATTGAATGCTGTATTTGAATGATTATGTCATCTTCAGTTGGGTGCTTAGTGACAGACAAAAGAGTGAGATCTGTGCTTTATCAATATTTTGGATTCCACCTCTCTGCAACAGGAGAAACAAAAAAATTTGTAATATGTATGCTGTTAAGGCCTCATTTCTTCGTATTTTATTTTTTATTTATTTATTTTATTTTATCGTAATTGTTGGGATTATGAAATTCAGATGAGATAAAGCATAATTCGTGAGCTCTCATAGAGATTAGAATATCCTCAAAATTTATAATTATTCTTATTTTAGATAGTACAAAATTTATAATTGTACATAATTTCATAGTCTTGACCATAACTAGGCTGTTTAGTATGAAAAATTATTACATGCGGTGTTCAGACGCGTTCGGAGGTCAATGTGGTTATATCATGTCACCAAATGTATAATGCATTGGATGATATAGCGCGTTCGGATCGGCCTTCGGACGTGTTCAGATACCGCACAAAATAATATCTCGTTTGGTTCACACCCAGGATTATGATGATTATTTCAACCACCTCTATTACTTGTTTACGACATATTTTAAGAAGCAATAAGAAAATTATCAAAAAAAAAAAAACTATCTAAACACCAATATTTACCCATTAAAGCTTTGAGGTTTAGTTCGCACTCCATCTTTAGGAAAAGTACTATCCCAATTACTTATATGTGCCATTAACTTTAGCCATTCAATTCACCCATCTCTATTAAGAAAAGAATTATCATAATTACTTCTAGTCAACAAATGACCCTAGGTTGTTCAATAACATGTTCTTCTTAAAAAAAAAGATTGCACAAACCTCTCTTCACTATTATCCATTATATCACCTCAAGATTTCCTTTGCCACCTCATTTAAAGGATGAATAAGGAAGCCATCTTCAATGGCCTCTTTGATCTTACACTACTACGCACTTATTTCTTATTATGACATCTTCGCCTCGGTGGAGGATTCATCCGACCATCTTAATTGGCCTTCATGACCTTCTTGTACCGCTACATCTCTATTTTCAGGTCAAATCATTTCCATTTCAAAGAGAGGATCAATACATCCATCCTTAATTCCTCATCAATATTTTTACACCTCCGCATTATCACCTTCAAGTGAACTTAGTAACCTTCTCGCATTGCCTCACCTATTGCCTTCATCTTTGCCTTGAGGACCCTACCTCTCACCCCTAGTGGTCACCTTGATATTTTAGCACGGCCTTATCCTCTTTCTTAATTCCTTGGATCTTTTGGTTCAAATGATCATCGCAAAATTCATTTTAAAAGAGATTTTTGTAATTGAGAGCTTCATACATAATTGTAATCTATTATTTTATTTTGTAGATCTATTACTTTAAAATTAAATTTATTTTTACAAAAATGAGTGATAAATTTCTATCTTGCTATACTTTGTGCATCTCAAAATTCATTTTTAAGTTGAAAATTAAGATAAGCTATCATTTCTTTGGAGATCTATTATAATGAGCTTAAAATTAGTTTTTAGTCAAATCAGTGAGCAAAATCTTTTTTATAATTTACATATATTTGATATAGCTTAATATCATTTAAATTTTATTTAAAATTTCTTTCAACAAAATCTAGATATGCCAATTAAATATTTTTAGCTTAAATTTGTCAAATTATTACAAGTGTTCTATATTGAGTGGCGGTGATTAAAAGTATGTTACAAAGTCAAACCAATGTAAAATTTTTTATAAGTGCTCAAGGTTGACTTTATGGGTCAAAATTTGAGAACAAGTCAAGTATTTCTAAAGCTATGAGAAAGGTAAACTTGAGCACAAAGCTACGATTCTTACTAATTAGGCAATCTTGATAAAACTGTAAGCACAATACTTATACCGCGTAGTCCCACATTTGTAGACTCACGGCTCTCTATATCATCTCACATTATATATACTCAATTGTAATACTTCACTGAATTAATAATAAGATTATAGCAGCTTTCTTTCTCTCTATCCTGTGCTTCTCTTCTCTCTCAAACCTCTCGGTAATCTCCAACATGGTATCAGACTGCTAGGATGGGGGATCAAGACTCAACTTCTTCCCTCCCACCCGTCTTCACCACCATCCCACCAGCAACGCTGGAATTACTCATTCCGCCAACACTCAAGTTTATCCTCTCCAACATCAAGAACATGATTTCCTATACCCTCACTGCGGAGAACTATGCACTATGGAGGACACAGATCTTTCAACATCTCTCCGCCAACAGGTACGTCGCTCATCTCACCGGCATTACCGAACCACCGCCGGATGATCAAATGTTCGAATACCACCGGTGGCGCCTGGTAGATAGCAATCTCATGTCCGCTCTCTTCTCCACAATCTCCCCGACTATCTTGCCGTACGTCATCACCGCCTCGACTGCTCATGAGGTATGGTCAGTTCTTGAAAGAAGACTCCAAGCTTCAAGCCGATCGCGCATACTACAACTCAAAAATGAGTTACACAACATTCAAATGCAAACTCTCACAATGCAACAATATCTGGATAAAGTGAAAAGCATCGTGGATACTATTGCTGCTTCCGGCACCAAAATCGATCCTGAAGATATTGTGTTATACATCCTCAACGGATTACCAACACACTACAATTACATAAAGACATACATTCGGTCGTCATCACAACCAGCTGATCTTGATTCTCTTTATTCGCTTCTCTGCAGCGAAGAGCTCCATGTAAATCAAGAACTCAAGAATCAGCCGTCTTAGTCGACCGTGGCCTACTATACTACCAGTTACAACCAACGCTCCAAGAATGCCAAACACAGCGCTCGATCTACTAACAATACAAACAGGCCTCCACCGGCTCCAGATCAAACAGCCAATCGCACTCCCACACCTAATACGAATTCCGGACAACGTCCGCTCTGCCATATATGCGGTAAACTTGGTCACACCGCTATCACATGTTGGCACAAGTGTAACTTGAATTACACATCATCCAAACCCTCTGCTCCTCGTACGAACCTAGTTCAAACCTCTCAAGATGACAACCAGACGTGGATCATGGACTCCGGTGCCACCGCTCATATGACAGCGGACGGTACAACACTCCAGAACTCCACGACTTATCACGGATCGGACTCTGTTTCGACTGCTAACGGCTCTGCGATGCCCATTCACAACTATGGTCAAGGTTTGCTACCCCTTCCTAATACACCACGTAAGCTATACCTTTGTAATCTTCTTCATGTTCCAACCCTCACTCACAACTTGTTATCCGTTTCAAAATTAACCCAAGATAATTCTGTATCGATCACGTTTGATGCTAATGGGTGCGACTTGGGCAGGCCGCAGGCGGGCTCGACGCCTCCACCGCTCGATCGCTCGAGACAGCGCCGCAGCAGACGCGGGCAGCGGGCAAGGCGGGCTAGGGCAGCGGGCAAGGCGGGCAAGGGCAGCGGGCAAGGCGGGCTAGGGCAGCGGGAATCAATTTTTTTTAAATTAAACGGGTTTTCGGGTTGACCCGGAAACCCGCCGGGTCAACCCGAACCCGACCCGTTTTTGCAAACGGGTCGGTTTCCCGGACCCGAACCCGACCCGCTTCGGGTTCGGGTCAACCCAAACCCGAAAATTCCGGGTCGGGTTCGGATCGGGTTTTCGGGTCGGGTCAAATATTGACAGGTCTAATGGCGTCTACCACCTCCGGATGGCACCGGAAAATAGAATCCAAGCACTTCAGACCAATATCATTTCGCAACCTACTTGGCATGCCCGTCTTGGACATCCGAATACACAAATTTTTAATTCTCTTGTTACTTGTATTCCTAACATGAAACATATTGCTTCTTATTTTCACTGTACATCCTGTCGTCTAGCTAAAAGCCATAAACAAAAATTCAATAAAAGGCTTTCTGTGAGTACAAAACCGTTTGATATCATACACTCGGATGTATGGGGGCCGGTACCTCAATCCGGAACTACCACTTTTCGTTATTACATAGTATTCATTGACGTCTTCACACGATTTAGTTGGTTATACTTTATGAATTCTAAACATGAATCACTTAACTATTTTAAAAATTTCCTCAGTCTAATAAACAATCAATTCTCGAGCACTCCCAAGCATTTTCGCTCCGATGGCGGAGGCGAATTTATCAGTACAGCATTCAACTCATTACTTAATGACCATGGCATTATACGGCAACTAAGCTGTCCTCATACTCCAGAACAGAACGGCCTTGCCGAACGAAAACACAGGCACCTCCTTGATCTAACCAGGACACTACTCCATGCATCCAATCTTCCAGACAAATTCTGGTTAGACGCGTTTTCCAACGCTAACTATTTTATTAACAGGTTACCATGCAAACTGTTAGCCCTCCGCTCTCCATACAAAATGCTCTTCAACAAGATTCCTGATTACACGCATCTACGAACATTTGGCTGCCTCTGCTATCTCTGGATGCAGCCATACACGAACAACAAATTTGAACCTCAGTCTCAACAGTGTCTCTTCTTAGGATACTCAACGCAACACAAGGGGTACAAATGCTATGATCTCCATACCCACAAGGTCCACATCTCACGGCATATTCAATTTCAAGAGAACATCTTCCCTTTTCAGCAAACCGATTCAACAACCACAGACAACACCTCCAATCCTGCAATTAGTCTTCCGCCGCTACTTCTTGTACCAACATCAACAACATCAGATACAAATTACAAAACAGCTCCTGCTACTACAGCTCCTCTCCCTCAGCCCCTTGCAATCAGCTCTCCCGCCAACACGCAACGGTCATCTCCCGTAACTGCTCCCATACCAGCACCTCCAACTCATCCAATGCAAACGAGATCAAAATCTGGGATTACAAAACCTCGACAAATCCTCTCTCTTAACAGCCAAACTGAACCACAACCTGTACCAACAACATATAAGCAAGCGGACAAATTCGATGTCTGGCGGGACGCTATGAAATATGAATTTCAGGCAGTGGTCAACCAGGGCGCTTGGTCACTTGTACCCAAACCCAACAACAAACCAATTATCGGTAGCAAATGGACTTATAAGATCAAACAACTTCCAAATGGACAAATTGATCGTACAAGGCCAGACTAGTCGCCCTCGATTACGCTCAAACCTTTGGCCAAAACTACAGCGAAACGTTCAGTCCTGTCGCCAAAATGG